CAGACCAATCAAAATGTTTTACGCAATTGTGCAAACGTTAAAACAATTATGTATTGTGACGTCATCAAAAGGCGCAGGCCCCCGAGTCAATCTGGTACCTACACCGGTAAATCTGGGTTCTAAGTTAACGGTATAGTTTTATTTCTAATCTCATGAGACAATTCAGTCCCTTCCTCTTGTCCATGTTGAGTGTGGTACAAACCATGCCACCAGGCCTGTTTCATGAGTTTATTTTGTTCTGAATTATTCTGCTGAAGCGTGGTTGAAATTTTTGATGCTAATTTGTTCATCTTGACAGAATTTTCATTTATTTTCATTGACTTTTGCCAGATTGAAGTTATTTTTGTGACCATTTAGTTTTGAGTTTTCATTAAATGAGGAGTACCAAGCATTTTGTCCAGGCGTGTGTTTAGGGATATAAAAGTAAAGGGGCTATAATTCCTTCAGAATCTCATCAGTAAAAAAATGTGGATCCTTCTCCTTCCACTTAGTGTTGTTTCACTATCAACTTAACATCAACTTAAAATAAAACACACTGGAGGTTGTGGTTGTAAAGTAACACATCTTTACTTTAGTCTTCCCATCTTCGGTTGCTGCTTTGCTCTGACCAACACAGCTGCCTCAGCCTCAGGTAAACCAGCAGCATCCAAGGCGGAGAGCTAATAAAGCATTTCATATTCAACACACAACCGACTCCACCTTTCCTCCAGGATCCGGTCATCTGCATTTCAATTCTGTTTCCTCTCTGTTTATTCCAGCAGAGCCTCCCTCCCTTCCTCCCTCCTCTCACCCCACCGTCCTTTGCATCTTAATCCTCTGACTTTACAAGATCTCCTTATCTCTCAATGTGTTTGTTGCCCCGCCGCTTGTAGCAGCGGCAATTCAGCGAGGCCTCACCTGATGGCACTGACGCAGGATTGAAGGGAGCGAACAGTTCCGTGGGGGGCTGCAGGCCCTGCAAGGGGTCGAGGGTGTTGGCGGGGGATGCTGGGGTCTGTGGGAGTTGGACATCAGAAAAGCAGGCGAAAAAAAATTAAGGCAGTTTGCTTAAAGGAGACACGCCGCGTTGATGTGGCCGTTACTCACCGATGGGGAGGTTATGTCAGGCGGCGTAGACATGTCTCCAAAAATCTCTAACTGGCTGATGTTCTGAGAACGAGAGAAATGACAAAGAGGCGGTCAGGAGCGATGGCTGCACCCCTGTCTGGAAACATATGGTGAAGTGGTTAGCATTCCGATGCAACATGCATCGCAAACTGCATGCAACACAGGGGCAGCTTTCCACAGGTAAACACCACCTACCTGAACTGGACTGCAGCAACACAGAGGAGGGGAACAAAGAGGTTAGCAGAGATGGGATGATCAGGATGGTATACCCACCGTGACTTATAAGACTGTATGAACTCAGATTAAAGACGTATCCATCAGCTGATCTCAGATTAGAGGAAAACACCCCCTAACATGTTCACTGTACGAGAGCCCTGTTCTGTTCATGGTTTTCACTCATTAAAGGAATAGTACACCCAAAACATGATTAGCCTTCATTTTCTACTCACCCCCATGCTGAACAACACTCTGGAGTACTTTTTTGATATNCAAAAAAGTACTCCAGAGTGTTGTTCAGCATGGGGGTGAGTAGAAAATGAAGGCTAATCATGTTTTGGGTGTACTATTCCTTTAAGGATGAATGTTTCGTCTCTGATGGAGCAACAATCAGATGCAGGGACTTTTCTTTTTGATTTGTATGATTTTGTTTCCTTGCACGGCTTTCCATGGTTCCCCTTAATAACTCTCTCCTTCTTTGCACATAACTAATATCTTATGGCCTGTGGCTACTGCAAGAGACTATTTTTAGTTGATAAAAGAATTTAAGCCTTGAATACATGGTCAGAGATTTGCATAAATCATGGATACGGATAATTTCTGCAGAGATAATGAATGTTCTTAGAATATCTTCTCTCCCGTTCACGCATGGGTCATGCAGACAAGAAAGTTCTTTTGTGCATCTATCAGAAAATGGATCTGTGATCACAGCATTAAGTCATGGGGAGTTTACTTTACAAAGACTGGAAGGAGTGAAGCTATATGATGTATATTTGACTGTAGCACAAGCTGCCTTTGCAGAAAGCTCACCAAGATGAAGTGCTTAGCAAAGATATGGATAACACTACATCGACAAGACGCAGCAACAACATTTAATAATCAAATTTCCACTATTATAATATATTTGTTTTGTAGTAATGTATAAACAAATTGCTTAGAACATGACAAATTACTTTTAGGGATAATGAAAAATAGCAATTTACAGAGAAACCCGCTGGCAATCAGAATCAGGGAGATGTTGAGCTTGAAAAGCCAAACAAATGACTGGCTAATTGGAAAGCCAAACATCTGATCTCTGCAGATCAGTGCAGGCGTCATCCCAAAAGAATGTTGGTACTTTGTAAAGAAAGTTCTGGTTAGTCTTTGTATAAGGGTATTACTGGGAAAATCAACCTAAAACTGCAGTCTAACTGAAATACAAGCCACTGCATAGGAACTTTGGAAGAAAGGGGTTAAAAATGAAGTCAGAGGAGGAAGAAAAATCCAAAAACTACTTGAAAGGAAATCCTATTTTCTGACATGTTTGCGGTTCATTCAGTCTCTCAAACAGAGAGCAAACAATTGATATAATAGAAAACCTAATGTGAGAATAGATTAGGTTCTTTGTTTTAACCTTTTTTTTTAATTTTTTTATCATGTTGCTTGCTTTCCGGAAACCTTCCAGAAACCACATAGCAAAAAATGATTCTGAAAGTTCTTTAAATCTGAAATGATTCCATCCTGTTCAATAAATGATCAGTGTT